CCAGGTAATTCTGGTGTGCATTTTTCAAATCCACTCCAGCGGTTGCCAGGGTGTGCTCTTGCTGTCAGTCACAGGCCACTGAACCTGTCACTCACCATCGAGTGTTTGGGACGTATCAGAAACGTGCCCTTCAATCACCCTTCCAGAACTCAAGCTCATTGGGGAAGAATGACATTTCAATTGGTATTTATGAATAAGATAATTTCCTGACCAGGAGCAATGTTTGGTTAGCTGTTTTCCTTAAGCCTGCAGAGGATAAGCCTGTATGTATAATTCATTTTCCTTACACGTCTCTTCCCTTCACTGATTAATTTCTTCAACTGATCTATTTGGAGTACAACATTAATATTGAAAACAGAATTATGAAGCCAGCAAAGGAGAAATATTTTATCTTCTTATGGCAACACAAACATATACATTTATCCAGTGTAGCCATAGATGAAAAGTGAACTGTCGTGAAACATCTGAGATGTGACAGATTTATAATATTAACTAAATTTTATATATTAAGTGCAAAAAAGAAAGAGGAGCAACCTTTGGTGACATGTCTGTCACAGACACTGAGGTATTAAGCTTGGAGCTCATTCATTCAGCTCTTGGAGAGGCCTCACTCAGGCTGAGTAGAGCTGAAGGCAGAAAGCTTTGTGAAGAGCAGCAGTCGGGCTTCCCCCACGGGGCTCTCCTTGGCTAAGGCAGGGCGCTGTGCTACAAAACCATCTCACCAGAGCCTGTTTTTCATCCAGCTGCCAGGTCTGGTTCCTGTGCCATTCCCCATACCTCCAAGCCTCGAGGTATTCATTTGTAGTATTTTACTAATTTTAGTTCATTAATTTTATCATAGAGGGATGCAAGAATAGAGAACAGTTACAGCAGCAGAAACCTTGAAAATCTTCTTCAATGCTTACATTACCATTTCACAATTAAGGTGACAAAGCCTCGGGAAATGAAAAAAAGATGCAACCCAAGTTCTTAAAAATTATATCAAATTACTCGTATTTAATGAGGATTAGAGAACTAAACACTGAGATGAAAAGGGATCAAAATGTCATAACTTTTAGGATTTTTTTTTCTGGCTTTATTGGTATTTAATCATTTTTCCATTTAGCTTATTAATATTCGATAACACACGCTTTGTTACTGAATTTTCCAGAAGAACAATAAAGGAAAAAAAAAGTTTAGGTTTACAGAATTTACAGATTCTGAAAGGTTGACTTGTCACATAAAGCTATCCCAAAACCTTCAGTTCTGTAAATCTTGAGATTAAAAGCAGTTTTATAGTATGCAATGGCAAACTAATCTTTTCAAGGGTTTCTGATTTTTATCGTAGAGTTTTTTAAAGCATTCGAAAAATCATTCATTCAACATTAAGATAGTGTCATACAAAGCTTGACATTTAGTTATTTAGCTGTTCTTCATCTAATAAGACAAAGAAAAAGGGAAGAACCTTTAAAAATGTGGTTTTATTATTCCTCAGAGACAAGTTGTTTTCCATAACCTTTACAAACATTTTATTTTGACAATGAAAAGAAGGAATAATGTGAATTCCTGAGCTGTTGAAAGCCTTTAAAAAGTTTTCTCTGGTCTCAATAAGGCCAGAAAGTTGTACTTAATGCTGAAGAAAGAGAAGTAGGCAAATGAAATCCTCACGCCTACCTCTTAAAAAGATCCCAAGCACTTACTTCTCTACTTACTACATGAAGTGTTCTGATGTAGGTAGAATGGGATGTCTGTATGCAGGAATTTGGGTTTTATTTTTTCTTGAGAATGGAAACTTTAGCACATTTAGCGTAAGTTTCTGTTGTGAAACATAAGCAACTGCAAATTTACCATTTTCTGAGGAATGCTACAGTAGAAGAAAAGACCTGTTAGGCCAATGGAGGGGAACATTCCAAATAATGTGGTCCTTAATAATCCCTGTGGTCTGGACCAGGAGATGCCTGTTAACAGCATCCCATCTGTGGCTCTTCATGCTTTCATGTTGGAAGGGCTAAGCTAAATACAAAGTGAGGATTAATTCATGCCTTGAATTTTATGACCCTTTGGGCACAGATGCTCCAAATGAAGAACCTGTTTCATTCACAAATGTATTTTTACTCTGCAAACAGTTAATGCTACATGTTGCAATTATTGAAACTCTACCTTTCCCTCTGGCTTGGCTTTATCCAAGTCACGTTATATTTGTCCCCATAGCAAAGCAAGATGGAATGCACTGAGGATGTACTTGCAGTTGAAAAATTCAAATGCAAATAAAATGGTGATGTATATTTTCCCTTGAAATGATCCGAAGAAGGCATTAGTACTTGGCAAAAGCTCAGAAAAATGTAAATGAGTCATGAACATTTCTCCAAAGTCTCATTTAGGAAAATTTGTTCTAATATTTGCTCAGTTCTACCCTGAGTTCTTTTGTTTTGTTTGGTTTTATTTTGTTTTGTCTTGTACTAGGGACTTGACAAGAATATGGGTCCCAGATAACTAGACTCCAAACTAGGAGTGTAAATCAAAGCTAGCAACATTATTTAGAAAATAAATAACACAGAGTACCTAAAGAAGGATTATATAACGGGCTTCTGGGAGTTAGCTTCCTGAGACAAAGGTACCATCATACATGCTGGTTTGTGGACAAGCAGAGCTTTGCAGCAAGCTTTTGTTGGCAGGAAGGTGAGGAAAATGCAGCTATAAGTGGCTGGACATCTCTATAAAAGGAAGCTACCCATAGAGGTCGAGCCCTTCTTCTCATCAGCGAATAATATAAAAACTTGTCTCATACTTGTCCGCAGTCCACAATTTTACTTCAAGAAAGAGAAACAAAGGAAATTATGAATAAATCCATGTAATCGTCTGGCTTCTACCACAAATCCTTAATTTACCAAGCTACAGAGTTCATGAAAGAGCCTCTGAGTTAATTGTCTAATGTATTGAATGAAGAGCCTGGCAGGCCATATATGGTTGTTGGAAAGTAGGCCTTAATGAAGCTGGAGGGCTTATCTGATCAAGTGTTGTGTGATCCCTTTATGTCAAAAAAGTTCATTATTTGATTTATTATCCATTTATTTTCTTCAACTCAAAATTATCTGATTAGAGGATTTGGCTGAAAAAGCAGCATTTTTAAGAAAAATAGGCTGTTCCTTTGGTAAGGAAGATTTTATTCCCTGGGTTTCTGGGAGCTTCATTGGGATTTTGGCGTACTTGTGATGTAAATTAAATCGGAATTAATTTTTTAATGATAAGCGAAGAAGTTGCAACATACAGCTCAGGCCTGTAACTGTGAGCCAGTGGCACTCCAACTGAAATCAATATGGACTTGGCCTAAGCTAAGGACACAGGTTGGGACTCAACATCATGTAAGATAATTCATTTCAAAATCCATGCAGGGATCAGCAATTCAGCAGTTCTTGAGTAATGTAGAAGTGGTGGTAAATCACAAGGTTAGAATCAAATCTGTAGTTGACATTGACTGGAATCAAGGACTTTGGAGTTGACTTTTTAATTTACAGGTGGAAGCAAAATTGCTTAGCATATGCCACTGGAATAATATTTTAATTCTCTCTTCTCTACCTAAACACCAGTGGTGAAAGATTACGAGGAGTGAGTGGCAGTGACACTTCTCTGTTCCCAGAGCCGAGATTTTGGCGTGAACCAGTAAGATTGCTGGTGTTGGGTTTAACCAACATCTAAGCACACACTGACTTTGGGCAGTCAGGGATTCATGGAACACAACATTTTCGGGTAGTCCTACTTCCTAGGTTGGGGTCTTGCTGGCTGCCCAATGTAATTACAGGTTTCTGTCAGAGAGGGGAATTTTTCCAGTTCCAGGGTTGCTGGGTTTTTAGAGATGGATGCTTTGCTGCTATTCTGCTGTATGTTACACTTGCATCAAATAACTACAACTGCAGATCATAGCTGTGCTTTATGAAATGTAGAGAAATGATAAAATACAATACCTTTTTACTGGCAATTCAATGCTAGCTGTTAAAATTCAGTTATACAGCATCCCAGGTGGTTGACTTTACCCTGCCAGTTTTGTTGCTTTCCAATTTCAGCATCCTGAATGCTGGGCTGAGGTGATAAACAGCCCATTGCAGGTCTTTGCTGCTTCGGGCTTTAAAGGCAACTTTTTCTTCTATATTTCCTCGTGGAAGCTAAAACATGTTGAGTGAGTGGTCCTGAAAGCCTATTGAAGAGACCAGTCTGGAAACCTTAGGCAACATTTTTTCAGAGGATGTTATAAAGACCAGCATTGTTTTCCCAAGCTTTGACCACAGACAGGCTTCTTCCAGACGATGTGTCAAGGTGACAGACAGCTTACAGCTGGTCATGCAACTGTTCAGAACGCAAGTATGTGGTCCCCTCCCAAGGATTCCCAGATTAGGTCTCTCCCAGTGCTGCTCCAGTAGGGCTATGTTGCCACATGGGTGACCAAGGTCTTCCTAATGGGAAGGGAAGAAGTCTTCACCACCCCAGCCCCTGGGTAGTAGATTTTGAAATAATGAAGCAACTACCGTGAAGTTAGCGGGTTTTTTACTGACATGTTTTACTGATGTGCTCTTTAGAAAATACACCGCATATGGATGAGACAGTGGTGAGCTGTCATGTGGTTACAAGGTGGTGAGCTGCCTATCGGGATTTGGAATCCCAGTTTTGCTTGTTTGTCTGGCATATGCTTTTTTTTCCAGCTTGTGCGAGGTGAGCAAAGGATGTGCTGGTCCTGGTGCCAGATCCTGTTAGCTGAACCACAGCCATCTGTTTACCTCCAAGGAGGATGGGATTGGCAACACAGGGTCTTCTACAGGCTGAGATTGAGCTGGTGTTTTAAAAACAGTTTCAGTGTGTTTTGCAGCTGGAGATGTTGGGCAGACCTTGAGGTTTTGCATGGGCACAGATGAAATCAAAGTGATGTAACGACTGATCAGCAACTCCGGTCACACACACGAAATGAAGGGGGGGCCAGACGGGGTTGGAGATTGTGTTTGGACTGATTGTTCTGGTTTCTTCCTCACTAGGACAAAGAAGTGAATCTGGAGCAGGTCCACAGGCGCATGAACAGTTTAATTGACGAAGACATAGCCCACAAGCAAATCTCTCCGGCGTCCATTGAAATCTCAGCCCTGGAGATCGGTGGCATGCAGCCAGCCCAGACCCTGGAGCCCGTGCGCGAGTACCAGAACACGCAACTGTCTGTCACCACCTTTTTACCAGAACAGACAACGCATGGTGCCAGCAGGACACTCACAGCTGCCTCTGGCAGCAACCTGCCGCTGCCCCTGAGCAGCTCAGCCACCATGCCCTCCATACAGTGCAAACACAGGTCACCAAACGGAGGACTATTTCGTCAGAGCCCCGTGAAAACCCCCATCCCAATGTCATTCCAGTCCGTGCCGGGGGGAGTCATTCCAGAAGCGATGGAGCCCTCGCATGGAACATCCATATGACGAAAACAAACAGTAAAACAACCAGCAGAGCTTTTTAATACAAAAAATTTAAAAGGAACAAAAAAAAAAAAAAAAAAGCGAACAAACTCTTACGTTTTTCTTGTATATACTTGTAAATAATGAAAGAATGAAGTGGGGTAAAAGTGTATTTTGAATATTCCCAATTTTCGAAGTAAGTAAAAAACAAAACAAAAAACAAACAAAATGTATGAATGACTTTGTAAATTTTGTTCTATATGAATAAAAAGGCAAACTACTTGTGGTTGTTCTCAAGTGCCAAAGAAGACCTGTTACTGGGACTGAGGGCCATACTTTTCTTTTTTTCCATGGATTTCAACACTTATTCCCTTACAGGTTTGTTTGTTTGTTTGTTTGTTTTTAAGAGCAAAAAAATTGTCTGTTTCTTGCTAGAAAAATTCACCATGCTCAAATCTCTCCTTTTCCCAGAACCCTCTTTTATAGTCAAGATGACAATTCACTTGCAGAACTTAACAGCTGGTATTAGCATAGCAGTAACAAATGTTTTAAAGGTGAATTATAACTAAAATCCAACCAACAATAAACAGGAAAAAAAAAAAAAAAGAAAAAAAGAGAATTTTTTCTTCTAACAAGGATTTAAACTTCCACACAGTTTCTAAGTTTAAGCACAGGATTGTTGGATTGTGGGTTTTTTTACATGTCTACTCTGCTGTGTGGCTCTTTCTGTTTAACTCTCTGTGTTTTGTTATACATATATATAATATATATTATATATATTATGAGGTATATATTATATATATATATAAACCCTGTGATGAACAACATGTTTTAGGTTAAGGGGACAGCTTTCAAGAAAAACTGCTACGCTTTTTTTTTTTTTTCTTGTGTACATGACTGAAAATGGGGAGGAACCAATGGAGTGAGGCAAGGAAGAACTGTAAGGGCAGGAGATAATGGCATTGCAATGACTGTGCCCTCTGGTGCCATTTCTTTCTTTAAGATTTCAATGAATTTGTTGCATAATGGATGCAATGCTCTCTGTTGAAGTCATATCCCTGAATGGCAAGGTTAAGCTCATGACTATAAGCACAGCTCTGCTTTCTTTTTCCATTATTTTTGTAAAGAGAAACATTTTATTGTAGCCATATCTATAATTGTGGTAGAAATGGCTGTAAAAAAAAAAAAAAAACAAAACATTTTTTTTTGTCTATGAAACACAGAGAACAAAGATAGAGCAACCCATATAGCCAATTTAATGTCTTGTTCTGCAAATATTACCACTGTAATTTCATATGACAGAAAAAAAATCAAAACCTAACACATTGTTTCCTTCCCAAATAGTAGCTTGAATGCCAAACATAACGGCTCCCTGCTCCCCCACCTATGCTTAATGGACCATCACTCTCTTTCAAAATGGGGATAATTTAGTGTCTTCTCAAATGTATCCCTATAACTAGGTTGTAATTTCCCTTCCCAGCTGGATTTCTTCACTTTATTAGAACACTGCTATTTGGAAAAGGTTGTAGAACCTGGTGCAGCGAAATCACTGTCTACATTAAGGTGAAAAATTCCGTTTGAAGAGAGGTAGAAATGCTTTCACATCCCAAGAAAGTCAGCAGGCAATCTGGGTCAGGTTTTTTGATAAATAAACATTCCATTGACTGCTCCTAATTTGATTTGCATAATTACACAACAGGTATATTTATGAGGTGATTAGAGTCCCCAAATTTTTACATTTCTAGTTTAAGCAATAGGGAGGAAAAGTCAAACTGTGACATAAAACCAGCCTAATGGAAGAGCATACTCAGCACACTACTTTTTAAATGAGGAATATTGATGGAAAGCTTATAGAAGGAGTACTCTTACAGGAATTAATTTATCTCTCCTGACAAGCCGTTTCCTCCTGAAGATGCTGTGATTTTGCAGCTTGGCACAAATTGCACTATTTGCTTCAAACTAATTAAAAATGAATAATGCTCTAGTCAGCTGACAAGATTTATCCTATTTAGAGACTTGTCTCACAGACTTTGGGATTTTTTTCTTTATTTTCTTGTCATACTTTTTCTTATCGTTATCTTAACAAACCTGTGGCCACAGGAAAAAAATTCTTCCTTGAATACACTAATTAGTTATGGCAGAAATAGCTACACTAATAAGACTATGCACACACAGGAATCCGTAAAGATGCTTAGGAGAAAGCGTGCAACTATTTGCATTTGAAAAAATCTCTTGGTTTTATTACCAGTTTGGGATTTTAGCAGTAGCAGAGGAACATGCTCCAGAAGAGGTGCAAGGAGATGCTGGAGTAGCTACAAGGGTGCAATCTGCAAACTTGGGCTTGGTTATACTGGATAACTTTAACTGAGCTGCATTTGTGGGGCAAATGGTAAATACAGTTTATTTTGGGGATTAACTTTTTAACATTCTTTGTATTCAGTGTTCTCCTCCTGGCTTAGTCTTGCTGTAAAGTTTGGAAGTCTGGTTTAACTTACAAACAACGTTAGATCTCACTTATGCATAGAATGTGACTCGCCTGTTGGAGTACTTTGTAGCTTTACATCTAAGATGATCAGGATCTTGAAGAATCAAACCACGGAGCCCTCATTCAGTAAAGAATTTAGGCACGTGAGTAAGTCCTCTAGAAAGCAGCTGCTTTATGCACAGGCTGAAGTGCTTCGCTGATTAACGATGCATTTAAAATGCACGTCTCAAATTAAATATGTGCCTAAGTTTAAGCAGGTGAGTGAGCTTGCCAACCTCCCTGGGACTATTCAGTTGCTTTAAGTTAACTGTCTTGAGCGCTTTGCTGCACCAGGGTCTATACTGTAAAAGTAGGGATCTATGATGGATCTGTCACTGCCTTAGTTATTTGTTTATATAAAAGTTAGCAAGTCATAGCTTGAGCCTATCAGGCTTGACAGGGAGCTGTTAAATCCTTCATGTGATAGTGGTTTGGTTTTAGATTATTTAAGCAAATCACCAGGTTCTCCTTGAACATAAACAATGTTTCTATCCCCATGACTTTCATTTTTCAAAGTAAATGGAGAATGTATGTTTTTCATATCCTGTCTCCTGTTTTATATTTGTATCTTCCTTTTGACAGATCAAAGCATTCACTTTCTATATAATATATATTCACCACACACATGCATATATATATATCTATGTGCAGTTAGTCACAGAAGAAGTGAGAAGTATAATTTCCATGTGATGTAAATGAGCATAAGCTGAAAGCTCTCACAGAGCTGTGCTTATTTACACCACCTGCAGATTTGACCCTTCACTTTTAATATCTGGCAAGTTGAAATAGAAAAACTGAAGAAACTTCTGAAAACTTTGCAGACCAAACTGTGCCCTTGATTTTCAAATGGAACTTCCCCTGACTAAACTTAAAAAAGGGAGTAATGTATGATCTCAAATATTCTAGCTTCTCTGGGATGTTTACATTGCAAAGGCGATTGTACATGAAATATACCTTCCTTTTGTCGTGCTCTTTTGATGATGACCTTTCACAAAGCTGACATCTGTGGCACAGCACTTGTAGTGTGTCTTGTTCTATCAATCCATTAGTTTAGAAATTATTTTCTTACAAAAATGTGACTCCGTTTCTTCTATTTGCTTGCAATCCACGGACAATCTGCTTTCAATCTGAAGAATGCATTGCTCTTCCTCCTTAGTATGTCATGTTTTCCTATCGCAGTGGAGAAAAAGAGTAATTGTACTTTCTAATTCCAAAGTTGAAACTCGATAGAACATCCTTATGCTGAGTTACTACATGTGTGCAATACTTGTCTTGCAAAGTAAAATTCCCAGTATCTGCCTTGCTTTGATAACCATTGCTGCACTGTCGAGGAAATCTCAGCGGAACAACTCACTTTTTCTCAGTCTGCTGATAGAATAAAACACTTAAACCTGGGTTCTCACCTGTGTAAATCAGTATCCCTCCAGTGAGTGGGTCAAGCTTACTGAGTTTCAGCAGGTGAAGGTTTGGATCTTAGTATTAAACTTGAGAGCTTTCCATGACTTGTACTCAGCAAGAGCTCCGAAAAGGAAAAAGTTCTGAGAGTCTCAAAAATGAACCAGAAAGAGCAACATTTATTAAAATTTTGAGCACGTAACACGGATTACAGCTTAAACTGTATGCTAAAATTGCTTAGAGAAAAAATTTCTTCCTCAAGTCTGTTCAAATTTAGGTATAGCTCTCCTTTAAGATAGGCTTAAAGCTGTTGAGTTGGTGACAAGTGGAGCATTGAGAGAAAATCATGTTAGTGGGGCAATACAGCAATTACAGTGCTCAGACCTTGTTTTATTTTGCTTTACTGACTTGAACTTACATTATGAGCAGCTAAAGAATGACATAAATGTAAACACAACACATTTGGGGGACCCTGTTGGAAATTTCTTAAAGAATCCACATCCTTTGGCAACCCTGGGGAATGCAAGGAGAAAGTCTGAAGAAAACTCTGAAGAGAAGCAAAATTAAAGGTAAAAACAAACGTGGTGAAGGGGGAGGGAGAAAAGGGTGGTTACAACTCATGTTTAGCAAAGCTGTATTACTTGTATGAGAAGCCTCAATTCCATCATACAAGCAGTTGCCTCAGCTAATTATTATTTTCCCTAATTTTTAGGAAACAAATAAAAACAGCATTTGTTCTACCAGAAACAGTTGTTATATTATTTAAGAGTTGGAATAATTTCTTTGGTGATGCCTGTTTTTTGGCTTGATTGTGACTCAGCTGGGGAAAATCAGCTTCAATCAGTGATTTGCACCCAAACCAGCTGTGGGCTGCTGGCTGGGAGATACTCCCAAGGGCTGTTCAGGTCTGCAGCTGGGAAAAATCAGCCTCAATCAGCTACCCATAAACCTCTCACTTCTCAGGGTTTGGGTCAGCATCCTGGCTTAGCAGTATTGGCTGCATGTGTCTCTGAATTCCTGGATAAGGACACTGCTTTGCTGGTGTTCAGATCGGTGGGACGCAGAATAGAAATGTGGCTTCTTCAGGCTGGTAAGGTAACCAATAACAGAAGCAAATAACGTGTAAGGTTTCAGATTTTACTGAGTTTTATTTTCTCCTAAATTTACTGGCAGCCTTATTAGAGGAGTTTTATAACGTTTTGATTTTAATTGTGCACTTATAAAGTACTACTTAACTGACTTATCCCTGCTAAAACTGATATTAGATAGCTTGATTAGAAATCCTTTAATGCTGGTTGTAACTTCAGGCCGTGTTGTAAGGGAGCACCACTGTGAAAGAGTTGTTTTGTCTTTTTTAAATTTCTTTTTTTCTTTTGTAATTCTTTGGAAGATGACTCATCTTTTAGTAACTGGTTCTGTTGTTGCAGTTACAAAGTTTTGTAGTTATGAGGGTGTCAAATGTTTCTGTCTGTTTTGGTCTCTATCACCTGAGGAGGGGGATGAGTGCTCACAATCATAGATACACACAGACATGGAAATTGGCAGGCTAAGGACAAAACTTGAACAAAAAAAGGAAAAAAAAAGTCTCTGCACATTTTGCCAAAGTTTTGAGTGCTTGGTTGGCTGGATGGGACAGAATCTGATTTCTGAATCATATGCTACATGTGAAGGTACTGTAGGTATCATCTGAAACATTTCTAGGTGAAAACCACAAATCACAGCTCAAAATTACCCCAGTTGTTTTCAAGAGGGTTTTTTATTCTTCTTCTTAATAATTGTTTTGTTGTAATGTCATAACTGAAGCTGTATGAGAGGGGATGTGGAACCTGAGATTTTACAACAGCTGCTTTTAGACTCTCATTTTGTAAGTCACTCACTCATTAAAGGAAATATCTTGGAGATATTTCTATACTTAAATATTTTTCTTATTTTCTTTCCCTCTTGTAAAATGTATGTATTTTTTTTTCTGATGAAATTGTTTTCGAAGTGGTTAAGCAGAACCCAGCACTGCAGGTGAGAAGTGCAGCTCAAAGAACAAAAGGCTGTGCAACCATGACAATGAACTGCAAAGAACAGAGATCCCAGATTTATGTAGCTTTTTCTATGTATCAGCAGAAAAAGATTTTATTTCTGTTTAATGTAGGTTTTTATGTGATTTATATTGGATCAATCCTGTCAAGATAAATACTTGCCAGAAGCAAAATATTCCAGCCCACCAAAGTGCTGAAATGCATATTTACCAATAAATCTAAGCAGGCACTGGAATGTTTCCCTGTCTTATGTAGAGAAAGCATCATTTCAGTCTGCTGAATAGGTTAAAGATTGAAAGCATGGAGTAGCACTGTTCTGTGCCCAGGGCTTGTGGTGTAGCATCCCACAGCCATCAGCAACCTTAGAGGGAAGTGGACATGAAATTAGGTTTGGGAGCTACTGCTTCATCTTGAGACAGAGAGTCCGCACCCATAAATAAATCTGGGATGACTCTAGGTGAAAAATCACTTGCAGTTGCAGACTCTTTTTCACTTGGGAACATTAGCAAGGATTTCAGAGGAGTGAGCTCAGTCCTGGTTGCTGCCCACTGCCCTGATAAGAAGGGACAGGAGTGTCCTGTCCTGGGTGATGGAGTGCAATGCGTCCATGTGTGCTGTGGTTTTGCCTCCCTATAAGGATGCTGCTTGGCAGACAACCTGACAGAGGAAACTCATGAGAAGTGCCAGGTGCAGGCAGGCAAAGCATTTAAAAGCTGTTGAAATTTAGTAGTTCCTGCATTTCAGCTGCCACGTAAGAGCTGGTCAGGAACACATAATGCAAAGTTTTGCTTGATTCTAAGGGCAGTTTGAATGATGGTGGGAAACCCTTTTTTTGTAAGGGTGCTTTGTTCAACTTGCAGTATAGCAAACATTCATGTGGCAGTAGAGCCCACAGCTCAGCACACACCTTGTGGGTACCCTGAGGTGGTAGCAAAGTGAGTGAGATGGCATTTGGCAGAATTTGCTGCAAGCTTCCCAGAGAGCTCCTGCCTGCTGCTGTGGGAGCAGAGGAGGGCAGGGGAACCCCACAGCAGCACTGGCACAGGGAGCTGCTGGAGAAGGGGAATTTGAGGCAACCCTGGAGAGCAGGGGGAGTATCTGGGAAGCTGCAGGTCTCCAGAGAGGAGTGCTGATGGTGTAGGTGAGGTGGGAAATACCCATCGATAGGGGCTGGTGAGGCCTGGAAATGGAGAAAATGCTGTATTGGAGTAAGAATGCACCCCAGGCTACGGACTGTGGAACATGGAGGTTGTTGGATGATGCTGTCATTATTTACATAGAGGTTTCCTAAAATTCACACGTTGCTAAATGGGAAAACTCGAGTCAGACTGGTCCTGGCACATGGAGAGAAGAAATAGTGATTGTATTGGGCTGTGCAGATCGTATCGGGCTGTGACTGGCTGTTTCAAGTCCATTCTATTTGATTTCCCCTCCTGTTCTGTGTCTGTAGGTCAGCTCACACATCTTTCTGGGCTGTGATTAGTTGTGCAACATTTACCCAGCTCTTTGACAGGGGGAATGTGCTTTTACAACACAAGAACAGTTTCTTCTTGCGCATTTGCATTCCTAGCTTTGTCTTGTCATTCATGTCAAAATGTCAAGCAGAGAAACATATGCTTTCAAATAGAGTTTCTGCAAACCATTTGGATCAATAAGGACTGTCTGCATATTTGTAACATCTGCCATGAAGGAATATGAAGCTCTATCAATTCAGTGCCTTAGTATACCATATTTTATTCCAGACTGTAGATTGTTTACATTCAGTGGCAGAAAAAAATTGCTGCTCTAGGGACTGCAGAGGTCTATTGTAAAGCAAGTCCTGCTTTTTGGAAAGTAGAATGTCCCATCTTCTGCACACAGCAAATACACGCCACCCTGACAGGCCAGGGCATTAATCCATAGACATGTCACTCGTGGCTCCTGACAGCTCAGTGCAGCTGCTGATCATCCCTGGGCTGCTCCGAAGGCTGGTGTGGGCAATAATTTCAGTTACTCTGAGACAACACCTGAAAAGCTGCCAGGGTGTCAGGAGGAGAGACTACGTGCCTGTGGACAGCAAGAGAGAGCATCTGGAGCGAAGTGGGGGAAGTGTCTGGCAGTAGTCTGTGGAAGCACTGAAGATGAAAGCTCCCTTGTGCTCTGCTTGGTGGGGTTTGGACGTTGAGGTACAACTCCAAGGGCTCAAATGTCACAGCCAGAAAATGGTGGTGGAAGGCAGTGATAGAAAGAATGGTCTCAAAAAATAGGGAGAGCCAGTATCAGAACATGGAGCAAGTTAACAGCTCGCTTGGCCCTAGAACAAAGCTCCTGACAGAGTGAAGGTATTTTGCCATGTGAAACCATGAGGTTGCAAAAGAAGCATCCTACAGTGCCAGCCTGGATATTAAGCAGCTAGGCAAGTCCCAGACCTTTAGTTATAAAGCTGCTTAGTTCCACAGTATTAAGTGCCATGAAAAGTGCATTAAACCTTTTATTAAGAACTCAAAGGCGCGCACAGCGAAAGCACGCAAAATGTGAAGTGTTAACTTAGACTGTCGATTTAATTATTCTTTATCACTTAATCCCTTTACCTGTGTGGCTTATTAAAAGCAAACCCTTCCCTGCTTTTCAGTGAAAAATTCCAGAAAACTGCATAAGTCCTCTGGGAAAGAGGGAAGGAGGGGAATTGGGGAATGCCTTCATGCAGGGCTGCAGGAAGACTTGAGCTTCAGAAGGACTGATGCACGAGCAGGGAGTGAGAGAGAGGGCAGTGATGGAGGAGACAAACTTGGTCTGCAGTGACAGCACTGTGAGGTGCAGTGCCAACAGCCAGGAATTACACCTCTCTTGAACTGGGATCTTGGGATTTAGTTTTGCCTTAAGTTTGGGAATGGAAAGTGTTTCTGCTCTGACACTCAGTGTGTGTCGGCAGTGCCTCTTGGGGTACTTCGGTGCCTTTGGGAGGCTCAGGCTCAACACCAGGCAGATTGAGATGGGCAGTGGGTTTACTTCAATGGTTGGCACTTTCTTTTTCTGGCTTGACTTCAAACTGTTATAAAAAAAAAAGCATTAAGAGAAGATAGAATAAAAGAAACAAACAAACATAAAGCCTAAGGGAAAATTCTGGCTTTTTCCTCACCAATAAAGTGATTATCTTCTCAAAGACAAAAGCCTATGCATATGCAGAATTTGATGAACAGATAAGATAATAATGAATTAAGAAAAAAAAAAAAACCAAACACAAAAACCAAGACCTGCTCTGCAGTTTCTGCACCTCTGGAGTCTTTATATATTAAAATATATTAATTGAAATTTTCTTGAGTTGAATTTTGATCGAAGCTTGCATTGGAGCTGAGGGTCTATAATTCATCTCGGTGTGAATGTATAGGATTTTGTTTTTAAATTAGCTGATCAGTTTTACATAAGTACCAGCAAAAGTAAAAATGACTATTCCATGAGTTGCAAATCAAAAGTATTCATAGTTGATAAAGAAACATTAAAATTTAATTTTGCTTTTGTTTTTAAAAGAAGCAGATAATTGGAAACAATTAGCATTGAATTACTCACATGGCTTTAGTTATGATGGGTTTATTAAGTCATTATTGAGAGATTGAGTGGTGGCACATGTTGATTATGTTTAGATGTCACTTTTCTTTGTTTTTTAAAGCACTAGAAAGAAATAACTGTCTTCTTTCTTTCTGACTGAAAAAAAAAAAAAGGAAAAAATTGATGTT